AAGAAGAAGAAGAAGAAAAAGAAGAAGAAGAAGAAGAAAAAGAAGAAGAAGAAGAAGAAGAAGAAGAAAAATAGAAAGAAGGAGAAACCATGCAAGAGAAGAAGTAGTTCGAATGGTTCGTCAGGCTCCGACGCCTCGACCGGCTCTGAAAGCCAAAAGAGCAGCGTTTGACAGCCTAATCGGCGCCCCCCGATCGACTCGTGAATTGCGTCGCAGCATTGAAGCACTTCGTCAAAAGCATTGACTGATGACCCAAACACCAAACTACTATGCGTATGTCTCGCAGACCAATGCTGCTGCTGAGTGGTCGATTCGTTCGGTCATCGGTGGCGCCCGAATCAACTTGGAGCGGGCTGGAGCTCGCCACCAATACTGGTCGCATGCGGCGAGACATGCGTGTCTTGTAAACAACATTATCTACACTGGTGAGGGTAGTTCACCTTGGTTTCAACGTTTGGCGAGAAATTCCAAGGTCCGCTGGTTCACTTCACTCTCAGGAGAACAGCTCGCTTCGTTTCGAGCCGTCCTGCGCCCCCTTTTCTTTTGGGGAGGATATGTGGCACGCGCGGCTGGTCAAGCTGATGGGGCGCTCACTCCTCATTCCTGGGCAACATGCAGATCAGGGACATCAATAGTTGGGTGGGCAGTTCAGCTCAAAGTTCAATCTCCCGCAAAATTTGAAGCAGACCGGGAAGGGTTTGAGGAGGAAGAAGCCCTTGAAAGGCCTTCCTGCAAAGAGATTTGAGATCATTTGAGACTAGTGGCCAATTGCCCAACAGTCAGCTCCAGCAAGTAAGCTCGGGCAGAGTGTTGGCGTAGGCACGGACTTCCTGTGAGAGGGATGGGTTCCCGAAACCCTGGTAGGCGCCCTTGCCGTGCAGATAGGGCTGCCGTGCGTCTTATCCTCCGCTATGTTGGATGAAGGTCAGTGCCGTGGTCGAAGGACATGATGTAGTGCCGCCCACGATCACCTCCAAGCTATGATGTAATGCAGCAAAATGCCGCGGGAGCCGCGCAAGGTGGGTTTCAGGCGACCACCTTGAACACTCATGGCTTGCGCCATGTAAGTATGTGTGCATGCATGCATGCATGGATGGATGGATGGATGGATGGATGTATGTATGTATGTATGTATGTATGTAATGTAATGTAACGTAACGTAACGTAACGTAACGTAATGTAATGTTGTAATGTAATGTATGTGTGTATGTAATGTAATGTAATGCCATGTCATGTAGTGTAATGTACTGTCATGCAATGTAATTTAATGTAATGCAATGTTTTGTGCTGTAGTGGTATGTAGTGATATGTATGTATGTATGTTTGTATGTACGTATGTCTGTATGTTTGTACGTATGTACGTATGTACGTATGTATTAATGTAATGTAATGTAATGCATTGCAAACGTAATGTATGTAGTAATGTGTGTACCAGCACCCTCCAACAGGTCTTAGCGCTGGTATATGTACCTATGTATACATAGATGTAAATGGCTGCATCTAGTGCAACATTTGCTGGTCACATTGACCGTGATGCACACGAGATGTTTTCGATCACTGATATGTCGCGTGTTTCGCCAAGAACATCGAATTGCATCGATTTGCTGAGGGTCATGACGCAGTCGCTACTGGGCAGAACGAGTGGTGCTGGCGGGTTCTCCGCCACCTTCACCCACAAGGGCTGCGGGGGTTTTTGAGCCTCCACCGGTCAGATCTTCCACCGTGCTGGTGTGGAATCTGGTAGGCTTCAGTATTTTTTAGAGTAGTGCATGGATCCAGTTGACTACAATATGTAGACATTTCTTACGATATAGTTATTTTGCATTGTTTAGTACCCACCCTGCAAAAACAATATTGGATTCTTGTATCTTCGCCGTGGCCGTGGGGTGCTTTGCAACTTTGTGCATTGAGGTTTTGCGCAGGTCTTTGAAACCTGGTTGCTATGATGCTTTTATGGCAGACACATTCAGGTTTCTTGGGGAAACCTAGGCAACATCTCAGAGTAAATATTGGAAGGCCACTGAGTTCAAGTGGCTGTTTGCAAATGCAATTACTTCATTTGGGGGTGCCCTTATTTGAAGTTCATGAACGACTTATAATTCACACGTGTGCTGCCAGATTATTCTTTTGGAACCCTTCTGTGTGTGTACTGCAAGGCCAGTGGCGCCCCACAAGACTTGGAGATCGCTGGAACTTTTCCCCCCGACTCACCTAGGTCGAGAGGGAAAAACATCCGAGTTGTTTTTCGCGTGAGCAAACAATGGCTGTGTCCTCTTAGGCGTGTCCCTTCTTCACAAAGACGTTTGGTTTTCAGACTGGTCGTGCCCAAGTCTGCTGCCAGCGCCATCATTGGCTGGAATGGAGCACCCTGGCGAAACGAGGCGCCCTTCCAGGCGGATTCGCGTTCTATGCTCGGTTCTGCGGGATCACTTGAGAAAACCGTCTTTTTTCTCGGAAACGGCTTAGGAGTCAGGCAGCACGACGAAACTTGAAATCCACCTGCACCATGTCCGGTCTTCATTTTAGGATGCGATGCCCAGCATTGAAACTCGTTTGTTTGTCACGTTTTTGCTTCTCCGCCGGCCTACCAACCAGATAGGATGTAGAAGCAATGTTGGTTGCCTTCATGGACGTCCTTCGACGGGTCAAGGCTGCCCAAAAAAAGAACTACGCGCCTGCCTCTCTCCTCGCACCTCACCATATTGTTGATACTATGTATGTTCCTCTCTGTGTTTCACCTCTTAATAATTTGTAATCCCACACTATTCTCCCACACAATTCACTATTCCATTGCACTTATTCACATTTATCTTGCAGAACCAAGACCACCACAGCACGCTCTCAACTTATGACTGCACAAAAATTCAGACTATAGACCGTGCATGTATGTTGATCTAACTGGACTAGATTGGACTACTCTACTTATGGGGCGCTCCATTTCTCACTGCAAGCGGGTTTTCCAAGAGGCTCGGGGCGAGTTGCTGAGCAGCTTGGAGAATCCAGTAAACCGCCCGGCTTTTTGCAAGGAAACCGTACAGCGAATCGCCAAAGAGAAGTATTGCCGAATCAACGTCAGCTGCCGAGTACCAGAGTTTCAGGCCGTTTTGGGTTTGGCTGCATTTTTTTCGGGGAGGGACGAAAAGGAGGAGAAACGGAGGGGACATTAACATTGGTTTTTGGGAGTCCTTTTGGATCACGCGGTCGGGTTTTCGAGAAGAGCCTTCTTTCGAAGTTGTTTGTGAAAAGGTGGAGGGATAAGGACCATTGAATTTCGAGCAACACTGCTGGTTACGGGGTCTCGCTTGCCTTGGGCCACCGCAACAGGTGTGTTGATAGCCTTGACCGAACGCTCGCACGCTCGGGACCAACGATCAATAGCCCTACGAATCCAAACCTAAAGCTTTCAACAGGGGCACCCGCGCACGGCACGTGTTGGTGAATGGCAGGAACGCGTGGTGACGATCTTCGGTGAAAAGAACTACCTATGCGAGGGCCTCCGACAAGTGATACGGCGGATGCAGGGTGCTCCTCATTTGCAGGTCGGTCTGCAGGGGAGCGAGCTGGCGCGAGCCGGGGCATCTGCAACTTGTGCTTGCAGGAGCACATGCATTTTGAGTACAAGCAGGAGCTGCCCTTTGGCGTCTGGTACTGGAGCACGGAGCCCTAGAACGGGTGTGTTCAAACGGGTGACAAAGGGAGGCAGGACTTTTTCAACCAAATCATTCAGGCCCATTTCATGTTCTAATGATGGCCTGTTCTCCGCAGGTTCTTTGTTCAGGCCATCACATCATGATGTCATGATGGCCTGCCAGCTCTTTTGGAGTGACTTGTGCCGGCTTTGTAGGAGTCTACTTCCCAATTCCAACCAAAGCTCATTCATATGTACATATGTTTATATGTAAATGTAAATGTATACTGTATAAATATGTGTAGGAATATGTTTACAGATTACAGATTGTTGTTGTTTCCCTAAACAGCTTCCAAAGGAAAATAAAGGTGCCAGGGTCAAGAAGACAGCGCCGGCGTTAGCCCGGGCCACAATGGATCTGGTATGCATACATAGCCTACATAGCTTTTGTAGCGCCTTCCCGCTCATCCTGGGATTTGGACATCGTCATGATTCAGACTCCTACATTCTCACATCGTCGTCGTCGTCGTCGTCCTCATCCTTACCATGCGCATCGTCATCGTCAGACATTGCCTCATAAACATTGCACATATCATCGCACACATCATTGCACATCACATCATCACAACATCCGTCATCGTATTTGATGCATTTCTAGTAGTTTTTCAGGACTCTAAGTCTGTTCAGAGATTCGAGTCTTTTTATCCTCTTACTGCTCCGGTCCGCCTGTCACGATATTTTTTTTCTTCCCACCCACCTGTCTCCTTCTTCTTGTTAGCTCGCCACAGACAACAACCTGTCACGTCACTTCTTGTCCCTCTCTGTTTTCAGACCGCGGATTGGCTTCACCGGTCATCCGACTGCCCATCAAACTGGCCATCCGACTGTCGGGGGTGTCCGGACGTGCTTGGCGGCGTCGCCTCACTTTTCGGGTCGACCCGGTTGGATCGATCCAACGTCGCAGGTCCGGAGAACAGGGAGCCGGAGAACCCCAACAGTCCGTTGATGCCCTACGAGGTGGCTCAGGTGTGGCACGTGGACGCTGTGGATATGAGTGCATGGAACGTCCGATGGGTAGTTTTCGGGGTGGAAAACCAATAGATCTATACAATGCAGCGACCCGACCAAAATGTATGGGAAAGTGCTTCTATTCATTTGGCGCACACACACACACACCTCTCTCTCTCTCTATATATATATACACATGTACGTATATAAATATATAGATTTACATCAAAAAGGACTTGGCCGCGCATCGATTGGTCTACAGGTTCTTCATCATAGATTGGTCTGTTGGGGGTGGCTCATCCCCGCGGCCCTAAAACGGCGTTGTGATTGTATGCCAGGGCAGAGGCCCAACTGAATTGCATCCTGCTGGTGGCCGGACTCAGAGCTGATACTTCAGGAATTGGTTTCACGGGCAAGTCTCAGTTCTAGGTGAGATTAGTTCTAGGCAAGTCTTAGAACGTGGACGCTCAGAGGAAATCACGTGATATGGCAACGATACATGATCTTCAAGGGGCTGCAGACCCACAGCTAGTTCCGAGTTCCAACCTCTTACGCTAGTTCCAACCTTCAACCTCTTCAGGTTGACCTCTTCGCTCCGCGGTTTTTTGGGGATCCACAGCGACATGTTTCCAATGGTTTTAGATTCCTTTAGCCTACAAATGGCAAGGGAGGCTGACCATGACCATCCCAATAGGTTCCTCCTACTCACAAGTGATCACATACTTTTGCGTCTCTGCCTTCGCAGACCAAGAGCAAGAGGGAGCTCATCGAATACTTGGTGCAGACAGCGCCAAAAGACGTGCTGGAGACTGGAGCTGCATGCTTTGGATGTTTGGGTTTTACATCTGTGTTGAAGACAGCACAAGCGACAGGACAAGCAACACCAATCCCTTGTTATGGTAGATGGGCAGTTGTAGTTCTTCAGGATCCTATTCAACACGCATGTGATCATGTGTTTATGGACCTTGCATGGCTGCCATGAACCGTCCTGTTGCAGATCCGGCATGGTGGGGCCAGGCACAAGCCAACAGCCTTCCAAGTTTCAGTGCAGAGGTGTTCTCTTGGAATCATATTGAATTCCAGAGAACTCATGATCGAAACGCCCGCCGAACCGGGCGGAAAACGGGTGGAACCATGGGGTTTTCAGACCCACCGCCCTGGGGTTTGGTCCGCCGGGTGAATTGCTTTGGTCCCCATCCGTCGAGGCACGGACGCGACTCCTGGGGACGATGAAAAATGCGCTGAAGAAGAGGACCCACAATGATATGCTCGAGGCGGTCAAGGAGAGACCTCGCGCAGGGGGTCAAGAGGGCGATTTAGGGCTAAACGAAGAAGGATAGGAGGTCATAATTTGAGAGGAACCTTCTGAAGCAGGGTCGAATGTGGGTTCTTTTCCGAGATGTGGCTTCTATGATGCCCCACATCCCATCTTAACTTGGCTTAGCTGCTTGGCCTAGTGACTCGTGGACGACCCTAATCGGAGAAAGCTGCTTTCTCCCGACCTCCGGAGATCCCGGGTTTGGGAACAGACCCAATAGATCGAGGTTAGGCTTAATGCTTGGGAGTTAAGTCACATTTCGCACAAGTCTTTTTTTGAGTTTACATTTACGTAACTTGGTCGCCTGCTAGATAACCAAAGCTGTTTTCGCTCAGTTTCTGTTGATGCTCAGCCTGAAGTTGCTGAAGGCTGTGCTGGTAGAATATGTAATGAACCGGCTTGCCACAAAAAGCTTATTGGTGGAGAGTTCAATCTTGAGAAGAGCTTATGCTAGATGCTCTTGTCAGCACGAGGGGAAAAGGAACCACTTCAAAAGCAACGGGATCACTGGGGACAGGAGAGAAGAGAAAAAAGAGAGAGAGTAGAGACCACAGAAGAGAACACAACATTTGGAACAGGGTGATCAAAGAAGCAGAGGAAGGAGAAGAGAAAAGAACGAGGACACATAAAATTTAAGAATGAAAGGTCAAGGCACAGGAGAGACAAGATTTCAGAGAGAAGGCAAACAGATAAGCAAAAGCGATGCAAAAAGAGACAAACACATTGGAAGAGAAGGAAGACCAGAAAAAAGAAACACGCGTGAAGAGCCTCAAGGGCGGAAAGAGACAACACGGCCTTGTTTTTCTCCGACTTCTTGCCAAAATGGCCTGGTCCCACGGACGTTTAGATACGGTCCGACTTCATGTGTCGTTTGACTTGGTTCCGATTGAACTTCAAGATTGGCTCACGAGAGAGAGAGAGAGAGAGGGAGAAGCAAACATGACGGACGTGTTTTACATGTTCATTTCACTTTCTGGCCTTGCATGTGCTCAGGAAAGCAAAACTGCAACGAACTGCAATCTTGTTCCTGTTTGTTCATGGTAGGAAGGATTCTCTGCAAACGACAGCTGCAGCTGTGCTTTGTTGAGCTCAGCTACCACCATTTGCAGTGTCACCTTTCGGCACATGGCTTCTAGCTTGGACTTGCTTGGAAGCCGTGCGCAGTACTTTTTGGCAATGCATGTTCCGCTGCAAAATACATAGGAAACGGGGATCAGGGATTGGGGGTCGTGACTGTCCCACTTTACATTTTGTATTCCCCGCCTTGCACAGTATGGTTGATCGCACGAGCAAGGACGTTACTGGGAGCAAAGGGCATCGCTACTAGGAACAAGGACGCTACTAGGGGCTGCATGTTGAATCTAAAGTCCAAAAGCTTGGAACCTGAAGACCCCTGACCTTCTCCGCTGGAACCTGAAGACCCCTGGCAACACACCTTTTCCGTGAACACCTGAACTTTTTTTTGTGAGACCCTGAAGACGCATCCGCCGCTTTTTTGCCCGGCCCGCTGGATGCGACGCTCGCCACTGCCGCGCCGCTGCTTGGTAGGAGGTTTGGAACCTTCGGGCAGGCGAAAATGTTGGAATAATACAGAGTCTCGGCAAGCTGCTCGGCACAGGTGTCCGGGTCACGTCCGGGGATAACTTGTTTCATTGGCAATGCGTTTATTGACATGTATCAAATTGTATCAATGTATCATCTACACTGCTCCCTAGCCTGCCAAGGCCATTGAAAGAACGGTTGAACTATTTTCCCGAATGCGTAGGGAAGGGTTCTCGTTTAACTCTGGGGGTCTGGGGGTAGAGCCTTGTTCGCGACTTGTTGCCTGAGCGACCGCAACCGTCCGCAACCGTCCACAAGCGACCGCCAGGCCGCTGCCAATGGGGGAAGGTTTTGGAGAGGGTTTGGCATGGAAGCATGACGTGTCGGATTCGTGTGAAATAGCGAGGAAACGTGTGGAGGATTCGCGTTTGACGGTGTTGCGACGAAGCCGTGCTTTCGTGACAAGTCTCAGCTGAAACGGCGATTTTGGTGGAGGGGAGTGTGCTCAGAACGTATCGAAATCACTCCAAACGTGTGGTGTGGCGCAAATTTGGTGGAAGCTTACATGATATGTTATTGTCACTTTTCGTGGCAGGCTCAGTACTTAGTGCTCTTTTGGATATGTGGAAGTGCGATTTACCGGGCAGGCGCAGGGAAGTGTGAGGTTGCGAGGTGTGGCGGAGGTCATAGTTCGTGGCAGGCGCCGTATACTTTGTGTGTGTTAGAAGTGTGGACACGTCAATTTTCGGGGCAGAAACAAGGAATCGTGAGGTTGCGAGTTGTGGTGGAGGTGAATGTCGCTGTGACATGCGATGGGGGGTTCCCGCTTGACTTTTGGAGGAAGTCTCGTACGAAACGCTCGCTTTAGAGACTTGATGCGTGACTTTTGGAGGAAGTCTCATACGAAACGCTCGTTTTGGAGACTTGACGCGACTTTTGGAGGAAGTCTCGTACGAAACGCTCGTTTTGCAGACTTGACGCGTGACTTTTGGAGGAAGTCTCGATCGAAACGCTTGTTTTGCAGACTTCAAGTGTGAGTTTTTGAGGAAGTCTCGTGCGAAACGCTCGTTCTGGAGACTTGACGTGTGACCTTTGGAGAAAGTCTCGTACGAAACGCTCGTTTTGTAGACTTGAAGTACAACAGTGTCCGACCAGAGCGTCCTTCGAGAGTGTCCAAGAGTGACATGCAAGAGTGTTCCACAAGAGTGTCCTACAAGACGCAAGAGTGTCCTACCAGAGTGACCCACAAGAGTGACAAACAAGAGTGTCCCACAAGAGGGTCCCGCAAGAGTTGTCCTACAAGAGTTCCGCAAGTCCCACAAGAGTGTCCTATACGAGAGTGTCCCACAAGAGTGTCGTACAAGAATGTCTTACAAGAGTGTCCTACAAGAGTGTCCCACGAGAGTCTTCAAGAGTGTCCAACGAGAGTGTCCTGCAAGAGTTTCCTACAAGGGTGTTCCACAAGATTGCCCAACGGTGTCCCACAAGAGTGACATATAAGAGTGTTTCACAAGAGTGTCCTACAAGCGTGTCCTATGAGAGTGTTCCACAACACTGCCCCACAAGAGTGTCCGACGAGGGTGTCTCACAAGAGCGACGCGCAAGAGTGTCCTATACAAGAGTGTTTCGCAAGAGTGTCCTACAAGAGTGTTCCGCAAGAGTGCCCTGCAAGAGTGAGCGTCACACAAAGAGTGCCCACAAGAGTGACAAACAAGATTGTCCCACAAGTGTCCCGCAAGAGTGTCCCGCGAGAGTGTCCTACAAGAGTGTCCTACAAGAGTGCCCCGCAAAAGTGCCCTCCAAGAGTGTTCCGCAAGAGTGTCCTGCAAGGATGTCCCACAAGAGTGTCCCACAAGAGTGTCGGGCACGAGTGTCCTACGAGAGTGTCCCACAAGAGTGACATACAAGAGTGTCCCGCAAGAGTGTCAAGAGTGTCCTACAAGACTGACTCGCAAGAATGAGGCACAAGAGTGTTCCACAAGAGTTACAAACAAGAGTGTCCCACAAGAGTGCCCCGCAAGAGCGTGTCCCACGAGAGCGTTCTGCAAGACTGTCCGACGAGAGTGTCCTACAAGAGTTTCCTACAAGGAGTCCCACAAAAGTGTCCTAGAAGAGTTTTCTGCAAGAGTGTTCTCTACAAGATTGCCCGAGAGTGTTCCACAAGAGTTACAAACAAGAGTGTCCCACAAGAGTGTCCTACAAGAGTGTCCCACGAGAGTGTTCCACAAGAGTGTCCGACAAGAGTGTTCCGCAAGAGTGTTCCGCGAGAGTGGTCCACAAGAGTGCCCAAGAGTTTCCCACAAGAGAGTCCTACAAGAGTGTTCGGGGAGAGTGCCCCACAAGGGTGTCCTACAAGAGTGTCTCACAAGAGCGACACACAAGAGTGTCCCACAGGAGTGTCCTACCAGAGTGTTTCGCAAGGGTGTCCTACAAGAGTGTTCCGCAAGAGGGCCCCGCAAGAGTGAGTGTCATACAAGAGTGACAAACAAGGGTGTCCCACAAGAGTGCCCCGCAAGAGTGTCCCACAAGAATGTCCCACAAGAGTGTCCCACCAGAGTGTCCTAGAAGGGTGTCCCAGTGTCCCACAAGAGTGAGTGTCATACAAGGTGTCCCACAAGAGTGCACAAGAGTGTCCCACAAAGGTTTCCGAAAAGATTGTGTCCTACAAAAGTGTTCCACAAAAGTGTCTCTTACAAGAGTGTCAAAAATTGTTTGGGTGTTTGTTTTCGAGCACGTGTTTGCATTCGGGTTCGTGGGTTCCATCTTGTTTTAGGCTAAACTCCTTAGAAAAACAATGTTTTGGCCAATTAAATCGTGGGCCAGGAATTGTAACTTCTTGATTGGCACCAATTCGGCAACCTCGCTTAGAGCTGCGCGTTGGGCCGGCGGTTTTTGACTAAGGCACGACGGGCCTGTGTCCTTGCAGCCTGGAGTGTTGACGCCTGGATTGGTGAAAGCAGCTTGGAGTGACCAGATCATGTGTGAAGGACGCCGCTGATGTAAGGTTTTGGTAAAGGCAGAAGTGCGTTCACATTATATAGCAGAAACCTTTTCGAACACATAGCAGAGAGAACTCATGTTGAATCTACGTGCTTCCCCGGACCTCCACAATCTTAGGCTCATAACCGAGGTTGCATGTGGTCCTAACTTTGGTTTTAATTTTGCTAGCCTTTGTAAAGGTCACTTTGACTTTGACTTAGCTGAAGTTATGAAGGTTAATGATTAAGTACTCAAATTTGACCTGACCAAATCAAAATTAATTAAGTCAACTAGCTCTAATTTGGACTTAGTTTTTACTTAGGTTATAATTGGTAAGCGCAATCTAAGTCCAAGTCGAGTTGACAATTAAAGACCTTGAGTTACAACGACAACAACTTTCAAAGTTTAAGCTTAGTAAGTGCAAACTGAAAAGAATGTACAAAAATCATTCCATATGTTGATGATATTTCCAGATTGTTTGAATGCGTACACTGTAAGTAAACCATTAGAAAGATTCTGGTTCTCTTCCTTTACCAGAATATATAGTTGTCAAGGTCTACAATTATGAGAAACAACTCCGACAACCTTTGCTTGCAAGTGTAATCTACAAACGGTATTTGCTATTTGACAAATTCAGTTGCTTGTTCCTTCGTCCTAAGATGCTCTCAGAGTTAGGCTAAAAGAAGTCTCTATATATAATCACTTTATTTTTGGACTCTCTTACAAATTGTTTAGTTGTGTCTCACTTGCAATTTGCATGTATTATTGTTGGATCTATTTTTCGACCCCCTTGAAATTGTACATTTTCAAGGGGGGTCCAAAAACAGAGCGATTATCACGAAAGGTAACCTAGTAAGTGCTAGCTTGAGTTTGGTTTGCGAAGCAAAGGGGTTAGCTTGAATAGCCTGCTCGGGACCAAATATTGGTATATCATATCAAATCTATGACCCCCCCTCCAATGTGATGAATAATTCATTTTGGCGACGCCCCCCCCCTCACCAGCACCACTATCATCACCCATAGCGTGAAGTCCATTCTCTGGCAGTAACAGCAGTGCCCCTACAATGAGGTTGCGCGCAAACACGGCTTCGACGCAGTGCGAGCAGTTCTTGCACATTCCAGCGTTTACACGCTGCATTTTTTTCGCAAGCCAGCGTTCACATACCATATTGCTCTCCACACAAATGAGCATTGACGCAACGCAGCCTCTACGCAAAGCCGTGTCAACAAACCTCACCACGTCGCAACCTTTTCGCAAGCCAGCGTTCACACACATCGTATTGCTCCACACAAATGAGCATTGACGCAACGCAGCCTCTATGCAAAGCCGTGTCAACAAACCTCACCACGTCGCAACCTTTTCAAAGCCAGCGTTCACACACACCGTATTGCTCCACACAAATGAGCATTGACGCAACGCAGCCTCTACGCAAAGCCTTGTTGACAAACCTCACCACGCCAAATGCCGAGCAACCTCTCCTCGCGACCCAGGTCACTTTTATGCGGAGCGCGCGCGTGACATGCGACCGCACTTGCAAGCCAACTCAAAGCTAAGTACCTACCAAGTATTTCTATAGGTGAAAGCTAGACATAGCTTAGTTTAACAAACCATGGCCCGGGCAAGTGCAATGCAACTCACAAAACCTCACCGGGCAGCATGTTGCAAAACACCTCCACAGGGTGTCCATCAGCAATTACGACCCATATCACCCAGTACCCTTTTGGATGGGTTTATATGACTCCCCGTCATCGGACCTCTAAAGTTAAAAAAGCGATTCAAATCACCCATCGAACACTTCAAACATTCAATCCCAAAAGCCAACTCATGGCTGGGACTGGGACTGGGTGGAGCCTCTCGGAGGTCTAGGCGTCCCGCCCTGTCCCGCCTTCCCACTTAGGGCGGTGAACCAGTCCCGGGCGAGCCGCCGCCAACCGACGGAGCTGAGCTGTCGGATGAAGAGGACTTCGACGAGATTGAGGTTGTCATCGTCCAGGCTGTCGGGGTGGAGAGTCCAGTGAACGAGGCCTGAAGTTGGAACGTTTGGAGCGTCAAGCTTCAGGATCAGGAGAGGTGAAGATGCAAGCACCTTCATTTGTTCATTCATTGACGGTTCTTGATATCTTTTGATCACCTCGAAGGTCTAAGTCGGTCTAAGGGTGACTTTTGGTCAAAAACCAGCCTTGGCGCTGAATCTGCAAATTCAGCCGCCGTAATCTGATTTCGATACGCTTTGGAGAGGGGTGCTTCAAAACGAAGGCCTTAAATTTGCCCTTTTCAGCACCATTTCGCATAGGCCAAAACCCAAAAGGGGCTTGGAGCTTGTGTTTGAAAAAGAACGCTTTTAAAGAAAAGGAGAGAGCATGTCCCCAGTTGTTTTGAGCACATGGAATGTTGCGGCATCAATTCTTACAAGCTGTTGTATTAGGCCGGCGTAAAAGCACAGGTAAAGGTTGATTGGCAGTTACTACTTCCTTCAATGCCAGCTCATTGATTCCACCCCATGGGCTGCAGAAACGTCGCTCCCACACGGTTTGCATTCACCGCTGTAAGAGCCGATGGGCGTTTTCGTACGGAAAAGGGTCACTGCGATCACAGTCATCCGCCGCAGGGCTCAGACAGAGCAGAGGCGGGAATTGGGGGCAACGCTTGAGCACAGCACTTGAGCGAAATGTTGACTGCTGATGTACAAAGAACGTACTTGAATCGTCAAGCATCTCCATATAGGGTGTTTATGAATCAACAGGCAGGTTTCAGGTCGACACATAGTATGAAGGTTATTGTGAACCTCTACGCGATGGACGCTGGGGACTTGTAGGGTCGGCTGGTGCAGTTTTCTCCCGGCCAATATTGCATCAATTCTGGCTGAAGCCTTGGAATCAGAGGGCTTTTGTCACGTTAATTTTAGCTTGAGCAGGGGCTAGCGGCTCATTTGCCAGCCAAGCTAGAGAAATGAGTGGCGGAGTCTGTGGACGCACACACTTGTACCTGCTGTGATCACCATTCACTTACCAATGGTCCCTGATTCAAGCATAACAAAGTTCCAGCCATTGCATCGGTTCTTGCACTCTGCAGTCACGAGTTTTGATTTTTTATTTTGGAGACTCGCTTTCATGTCTGGAGGCAGCACTTGCCACACTCTGAGGATTTGTCGATTATATGTTTGTTTTTTCGTTAGACGCCTCTCCACTGGTACATTGAGGGTTTCTACCCCTGGACTCTTCCTTAGGTTTTCATACCTGGGTCGGCGTGTCTCCCTTTATGGGAGCCTGGAGTGAGCCCGAAGAGTGCCCTCCGTGGCCTTGCTGAGCAAGGGCTTGTCTCCTTCTCCCGGCCCGGAGAGCAGAGCAGGCCACAGCGGACGGAGTAGGCTTGAGCCAAACGCCGCTTTTTGATCACATGGGTCCATTTTGGACCACATTGAACATATGTTCACGTGCTCTTGTGGCTTCGGTTGGCACAGGTCTATACCACACGCAGGAGCTCCTCACCACGTTTGGCCTCGTGCATCTCCTTGCTCCCAGTCCCGAACAAGCTCAATGGCCAAACTCTCTTTCCGGATCCACGGCCTCCATACTCCCGCCCAAACTCTTTTTGGCTACCGCTTCTATGCCTTCGATGACTTCACCGACTCCTTCAACACCTTGCTCGACGCCATGGACTACACGTTTCTCCGCAACTTGCTCTCGCCCACCGTTCACTTCTGCGGATCATCTACCACTCGAGGACGTTCACGCTCCCCCCCTTCTGGGCCCTCATTCAGGCCTATGATTGATGTCTCACCCCAAGCCCTCACTCACAGGGATCTTTCAATGTACCATCACCAGTGAGTACGATGTTTGTATATTAATCTTAAATTGGAACCTTCCTTTCCTCGCGCGCCCTGCCTGCGTCCCACCCTCCCCGTGCCCACAGGATGCCCCTGCCCTGAACTCCAGCCACGGTACTGATATGATTACGCCCCACGGTTGCTCTCGCGACTACCTCCATTTCACCGCAGCCTACTACTCCTCCATCTACTACACTGGCCACTTCCGCTCCACCACTCACCACGACCACCCGTTCGAGTTCCAGTTCCGAGGAACCTTCCTAAGAAAGCCAGACCACCTTCCGACCAGGACTCCATCATCTCCGCCACTTCGACCACACCTGGAGTCCTGCCCTTCCTCGTGGTCTTCTTCCACCAGGACATCGTCGTCGCCTACACCCACTGCTTCACGACTTCACTTCTTCCACTTTCACCGTGTCGCACTCAGCTTCACTATTACGGCGCACAAGAAAGTATGAACATGATTGAACATGTATTTTGCTCACCCACTTCCAATGGTTTGCCACTCATCCCAATTCCCCGCTTTTCTGTCCTTCTACTCTTGTGACCAGGTTCCCAAATATTCTCTGAGGCATTCAGCCGTTTCCTTTCCATCTTTCCATCCTTTCATCCTTCGCTCCGCACTTCAAGATGTGCTTGAGTATCGTGAGCAGGCTTTCGAGAATGTTATGAGCTCGGTCTTGCAGCGGCTCTATGACTTTGACTTTGATATTGCCTCCTGGGACCTTTGGTCACGTGAATTTCAGCTTTCAGCAGGGGGATATCGGCTCATTTCTCGACGCTAGCCGACAAAGCTAGAGAAATGAGTGGAGGAGTCTGTGGACGCACAGACTTGTACCTGCTGTGATCACCATTCACTTACCAATAGTCCCTGTTTTACCTTACCACACTTTGAGGATTTGTAGTTTTTGTATTTTTCGATAGACGCCCCTCCGCTTGGTACATCGAGGTTTTCTACCCCTGGTCTCTAAGGTTTTCATACATAGGTCGGCGTGTGGCAAACCGCAATCCGTTCCAGACCCAACGAGCCAACGAAAGCACCGAGCCAGAAACTAGTTCCGAAAAAGAAAAAACATATGTTTTTACTTTTTTTTACAAGTTTATGTTGTTGGGACATTGCTACGAAGCACATCAACATCGGACAATTCTGCAGCAGGTGAGATCAATGAAACTCTGAAGAGTATGTGTCGCTATAGTTTGGCACCAAGGTATCAAACCAATGGATTGTGCTGGTGCATCAAAATTTTGGCAGATACACCTGGGCGCCACTCCACGGAAATATATTTGTTTAACTAACAGTGCTCGCTTTCGGATACGTTTTCAGAATGATCCGTACGAGAAAACTGCTTGGTTTCCCACAGCGGAGCAACTCAAAGAGTTCACACGAACTTCTTGGGGACCAGTGAGTGTTCACGTGACCGGAACAATGTTGGCGCCATGGAGGAGCTAAAGAACACTTTAAACAACATATTTCACTTCAAACTATCCCCACAACTGGTAGGATAGCTGGGTCGGGGCTGATTGGTGAAACACCCCTGGGTCATGTTTGCTGTTGTCAGTATGTGTGCAGGAGGACTCGGACGAAGAGGAGGAACCGTTTGAAGAGGTTGTTTCCCAAAGCAGCGATGCTGCTGAGGAAAACTCCCTGCCACACTCAACAGCTGAAGAACCACTGCCGAGCGAAACATCCTTGCGGTCAACGCCGCCGAACAGTACCGCGCCTAAAACCGCTTGGAAAGCAACAGCTTGGAGTTTGCCGTCGAAGCAAACAGGGCGGCGCCGTGCAGCGACGGCGGGGACAGCCGTGGCTGACCACTTCCGCCTCGTGGAAGCGCTGGCCGTCGAATGGCCGATCTTCTCAGGCAGTCGAGAGCCTCGCACAAAGCCGAGTCCTGTTTTAGAGTGTTTTAGAGTCCTGTGGTTTAGTGCTTTGTGACAATGTTGCTTTAATTTGGGCAATGCAAACTTGCCCAAAGCTAAGTCCAAAGAGAATGCAAAAGTGTAAGTTAAGTTGTTTTTTGCTGGGTCCAAGGTGACTCAAAGTTAAGTACCTACTATATAAGTATTTATGTAGGTATACGTTAGACTTAGCTTAGCTTAACTAACCATGGCCCCGGCAAGTGCAATGCAAATCACAAAATCTCACCACATATGACATATGTCAACCAAAATCTGAAAAAGTGACCAAGTGAGTGCTTGTAAACTGGTGACCGGCCAGTATGTTGCAAAACGCCTCCAGTGTCCATCCTAGCATCAGCAATTCACCCCATGTCAGTTTCTCCAAATCACTCAGTACCCTTTTGGATGGCTTTATATGACTCCCCGCCATCGGACCTCCAAAGTTAAAGCGATTCAAATCATCCATCGAACACTTCAAACATTCAATCCCAAAAGCTAACTCATGGCTGGGACTGGGTGGAGCTCCACTAAGGGCGCTCTACTCGAGTCCAAAGAGCCAGTCCCGGGCAAGCCGCTGCCGGGCGACGGGGCTGAGCTGTCGGATGAGGATGTCGACGAGATTGAGGTTTTCATCGTACAGGCTGTCGGGGTGGAGCGGGGTGAACGCGGCCTGAAGTTGGAAATTCTGGAGCTGCGTCAAGCTTCAGGATCAGGAGAGGTTTGTTGAAGCTCCCCCATTTGTTCATTGTCTTAGCGGCTTTTGATGTTTTTTTTGATCACCTCTAAGGTCTAAGGGCGACTTTTGGAAGGGAGGTTGCTAACCCCAAAAAAGCTAACCTCACGTGGCCTTATGTTTTCAAGGTTGGTCAAAAACCTTGGCGCTGAATCTGCAAATTCAACCATCGTTGTTCCTTATGTCGACACGCTTTGGAGAGGGGTGCTGAGGAGTGCAGACGGAGGCCTTTCGACGCAGCCCACCGTACTTTTAGGCCAAAACGCAGTCTGTCAAAAGGGGCTTGGAGCTTGTATTTGAAAAAAGGGGTCGGGGTCGGCCATGTCCCCAGTTTTTTTTGACTTGGGCACAGTGAATGTTGCGGCATCAATTTTTACAACCTGCTGTATTGGGAATGTTGGCATGAACTGAGCCTGGTTTTTCTTAGATTGTTTCTCCTAGTCATTAGTTCCTTCAATGCCAGCTCATTGATTCCAACCCAAGCTTCCACACGGTTTGCATTTACCGCTGTAAGAGCCCATGGGCGCTTTCATGCAGAAAAGGGTCACTGCGATCACAGTTCATCCGCCGCAGGGCTCAGACGAAGCAGAGGCGGGAATTGGGGGCAACGCTTGAGCATAGCACTTGAGTCCAATGTTGACTGCTGATGTACAAAGAACGTACTTGAATCGTCAAGCATCTCCATATGGGGTGTTTATGAATCAACAGTCAGCTTACAGGTCGACACAGTATGTTTCCGAAGACCAAGAATGTAGACCCAACGAGCCAACGAAAGCACCGAGCCGGAAACTAGTTCCGAAAAAGAAAAAACATATGTTTTACTTTTTTCTACAAGTTTATGTTGTTGGGACATTGCTACGAAGCACATCAACATCGGACAATTCTGCAGCAGGTGAGATCAATGAAACTCTGAAGAGTATGTGCCGCTATAGTTTGGCACCAGAGTATCAAACCAATGGATTGTGCTGGTGCATCAAATTTTGGCAGATACACCTGGGCGCCACTCCACGGAAATAATTTGTTTAACTAACAGTGCTCGCTTTCGGATACGTTTTCAGAATGATCCGAACGAGAAAACTGCTTGGTTTTCCACAGCGGAGCAACTCAAAGAGTTCACACGAACTTCTTGGGGACCAGTGAGTGTTCACGTGACCGGAACAATGTTGGCGCCATGGAGGAGCTAAAGAACACTTTAAACAACATATTTCACTTCCAGCTATCCCCACAACTGGTAGGGGGTCGGGGCTGATTGGTGAGACACCCCTAGGCCACGTTTGCTGTTGTCAGTATGTGTGTCATTGCTTGTTGACTGCTATCTTACTTCTTTTGTCTGGTGTATTGTCATGTATTGCACGTGGTGTGGTTATGTTTGGTGGTCTTTGTCTGTCTCTCTCTCTCTCTCTCTCGCTCTCTGCGTCATTGTGACAAAGATGTTAACAGTGTTGAGGTCCTTTGATGAGTCTTTGGACCGATGCTGTTGGGCTCAAACCAGGCCTTGAGATGACCTTGGTTGCGCATGATGGAAAACGGTGCGTGCCTTCTTGTGGAGTGTTTCCCAAGAACCTACCTCTACAGAGGTAGGCGGAGCAGGACGAGATCCTTGACACCTTCAAGGTCCGGACTTTGACATCAAGCTCTTCAAGCTTGGTTGGTGAAGGTGCTGACCCTGGGCCAGATGGATGGCCACCAAAGCATTCCAAAATAATCCTTGGTGGAACACCCCTCAAGGCCGAGCTGCAGGGACTACATCGACTTGGCCTCTGACCTTCTCAGCTACATGGCCCTCGATGCAGCAGGAGACAGTGGCTAGTGCACCACAGGTGATGCCGCAGATGTCGCATCACACATGCAGTAGCAGACAGCAGCAGCATGCACAGACCCCACCTTCAAGCACCAGACCAGTTCTTGGCAGCGGCCTTTGCGAGTGCCCTAGGAAGCGCTGGACCACAGCCCAATGACGCTTCTCCCATGAGCGCCTTCTCCATGCCGGGTAAGCAGATCCCACCAGGCGCTTCGATGCCATCCACGGCAAGTGCGCAGACTCCGGAACAGCTGATTGCGAGTGCCCTTCATGGAACGGCTCGCCTTCAACGCTGAGGATGTCCTGGCTGAAGCTCCTAGTGCTGTGGGAGTGTGGGAGTACTAATCCAATGTGCTTTCGAGAAAAAGCCGGATCATCGAACCTTTGCAAGAGCATCTCATTGGCAACCGCTTTTGGAGGGCACGAGAGGCAGATCGCCACTCTGAACAGCTTTCTCAAGTGCAACTGTAGAGCTGAACTTGAGCAGCATGACAACGGGGTCATCACAGAGGAGAACGAGACCTACAGTGATCCACTGTCAGTGGCGCTCTTGGACAACGAGCAGAGTAGTGCGATCGTACCGCGCTAGAGGTTGCGCCGATCCCGCGACAGTGTGGCAAAGACCAGATCCCGGATCCGATGGGTCCCGCACAACCGGAACGCATCGGATATGCTGACAAAGGTTGTCCAGGCACGTGAGATGCCGATGATGGAGCTGTTGAAGACGGTTTTCTTGCGGAGTGTTTCCCAACACCCTACCTCTACAATTGTTTGCTGTATTTTGTAGTGGTTGTCCTTGTGTATTGTCAGGTGTTGTGTGTTGTGGTTCTGCTTCATGTCGCCCTTATGTGCGTCAATGTTTGTTGTTTGCTGTCATGTCGGGCCACTGGCTGGCGGGACGTGTTGTGTTTATGTTTAATGAGCGTGTCGTTGTGTGTTGTTTGTGTCACCCATTGTTGTCGTTTGTTGTGTTGTGTGCCATTTTGTAGTGCAGTGCAATCTTGCCATAATGTAGTGTAACCTAATCTAGTTGCAGCTGCAGCAGGAGGAGTAACAGTCACTAATAGATGATGTTCCTTCAACAATGGCCGAAAGAAATGCTTGCCAGAACACAGTGTCCATTCAGCATGGTGAATATTGCACCGATGCCTGTGTTTGAGGTGGTAGGCGCAGCTAAAACTGACAGATGGTTAGTGTCCCAGCACTTTGTCTGAAGAGTTTTTCATTGCTCGAGGATTCGGATGAAGAGGAGGAGCCGTGCGAAGAGGATGGTTCCCAAAGCAGCGATGCTGCTGAAAAACATTCCTTGCCACACTTAACAGCAGAAGAACCAGTGCCGAGCCCAACATCCTCGGGGTCAACAGCGCCGAGCGCTACAGCGCTGAAAGCAGCAGCTCCCTTTGTGGAGATGCCGAGCCCCTTGTTTAGCAGAAGCTGCAGCAGCAGCAGCAGCAGCAGCAGCTCATTGTCTAGCTGCGGCGCTGTTGAGAAACCGAACCGGTGCTGATTTTAGGACCTGAAAGGAACCCAACAGGTGAGAACAGTGATGGGTCTGCCCTGCGATGCCCGAACATCCGCCTTCGGATGCTTTAAGAGGATCGTCGATGCGATCCGGTCCAACGACTAATTCGTTCTCTTTGTACAGTGCCTCAGATGGAGGAGCATCCCCCACGTTGGTCAAGATTCGCCGATCTGGCAAGACTGCCGGTGTATCATGGATTGTCATGGTGATTGTCATCTCCTGATTATCCAACAAACTTGGCCAAGAGGGTGCCTTTGTACTCCTTTCATCGTGTCCGACACGGGCCTGAGGGGCCCGCCGAAACGAATTTTTGGGTGCCCGCAGATTTGCGCACTGATTTGCAATTCGTGACCCTCTTTCAGATAAATCAAGCTGGAAAGTGCGTGTTTTTTGTTCAACAGTGAATTCGTCATTGCTGCATGTTTCGCCTGTTTGATGCCTGTCCTCGGCAAATTCATTTGCATCATTTGCGTAGCAGCAGAGATGGTCTATTTGGTTAGCAATTTTTGGTGGGCCCTTGTTGTAAGCCGAAAGTCAGGGAAGCTTGTGAAGAGGGGGTACCGGGGTATATGTATGTGTCTCACGTAAACAGAACGGGAGGATCGAGCTGTTGATGCGTGAATTTCCTTTGTGTCAAAGAACCATTTGCACCTTTCGTTCACAAAGCCACGGCGATTCCACTGCTTGAGGAAGCAAACCATAATCTCATTCGCGCATCTCAAGCTAGTTCATCCCAGTAGCTCCTGGATTTGAGGCTTGCACGACACTGCTCTAGACCCTCCAGAAGAAAGGACACGCATGGAAGCATGATGAATACCTAGTTTGATTCGCACGTGAAGCTTGAAGGTTGAACCTTTTTGCAGTATAGGTGTTGTGAAGTGTTGGTTCCTAAGTCAGTGTCGTGCGAATGTAGGTGACTCAATCCATGCGCCCGGTTGCAGAAAGACAAAAGTGGTGCGAGTGTCACATTTCGTTTAATCTGGACCATGTAGATGAGGTTTGGAATAACACAACCAAAATCCGGAGAATGGCCATGTTTGACTCGATGATACTCCATGCGACAATCCCAAAGAGAGAGGGTGACGGGCGCCCTTTCGACGTGTTGGTTCGCGTCCACCCGATCGAACTGGCACTGTGCCCGTGTGGCGCTGGCAGTTTGCTGCACCGCTGGCCGGGTGCAGACGCGGGGCAGGGCCATGTCCTTGGGGCCAACGCATCCCCAGCCGATGGTTTGGGCAAAGAAGGGCTCCCCCTGTTTGGGGATTAATACAAGCATCATAACCAGCCTCCACCAGTGGTTCTATTTTTGGGGTTAGATGCCCAGAGGGATGTATGACAGCAAGGCACATGGGCTAACGCGCTTGCTGGGGACACTGACCGCTGCTGGCCGCTCCTTGCGGGTGTGTCCCGGAACGAAGGAGCCGCCGTGAGGGCAGAGGGTCAAGGCGGACGCCCGAAATGGGGAGGCCACATCTTGCGGTTTCAGAGTAGATTGCACAAAGCCCAAGAGGTGGTCTGAATGGACCCCAAAAAGATGGTCTTTGTGTGTTCCGGGAATCCATCCACTGGTTTCACGGGCGACCGACGTGGAGTTCCTCGGATGGATACGGACAGCAAAGGTCGTGTTCGGAGCCACACGATCCGCGCACAGACAGAGTTTTAGTCATGTTGTGAATTTACGGAGCCACACACGCTGTCAGTCAAAACTAAGCACCAAGATTGATGGTAGGTCCAAAGCATTTTGGGAGAGAACTGTGTGTCTCTGACCCTTCAGCCGACCAGTTGCGTTGCTCTCTTCAAACAATCGGTGATGTGCGGCAGCAAACTCTCTACCCAACAGTGCGTGGAGCAGTCTTTGCCCCTTCGCCAGATTGTGCATACACGCATGGAAGTTCCAACAAAGAGAAGCTGAAAACGCCAGCTTTGAATCAAACACTTTCTTGCGAAGAAGGACGCAATTCTAGCAGTGCCTTGCTTAGGCTGAAATCATGCCTCTCCTCCATCCTCCATAATGAGCCAGCTTTTGCTCATTTGGAGATCAAGTCTGGCAGCCGTAGATGTTGGAGCAAGAGTTGTGACTTGCATCTGGACACGCGTGGGCCACATTCTTTTTCATGCGCCCACCCTGCGATCATAGGGTCCGTGGGGCTTTCTTGTCCCAACAGGGCTCCTGTTGTCGCATGCACCGGTGGCCGGGTAGCAGGCGCAGGCTCACCTCACTCGCGTCCTTGAGGCCAACGCGACAGGGACGTCACTCGGTGCTCTCGAACGTCTGTTCGACACCGGTGCGAACTCTGACGTATGACAGCAAGGCGAATGGGCTAACGTGCTTGCTGGGGACGCCCGGCCTATTTGGCTACTGCCTCCTGCCCGACGGACGCTACGCCTCCGTCGTTCCGGGTGGCCTGCTGACGGCTGAAGTACCAATGGCTGGCGGTGGGAGAAGCCGAAAGGGGAGGCCTGAGACTTGTTTTTCTTCAAAGATCTGAGATCCACGGCTTCAGAGATCTGTCCCATCTTTACTGAGGCCTAACTCTTTTGAAGCCGTCAATCCAAGACGGGACAGCTTTTGCCTCGATGGCAGGGCGACAGATCAACGAGTTTGAACAGGCCGGGTTGGTCCGCCTCTGAACTGGCTCGAGGGGGACCGGTGGAGAGAGGGAGCTACTTGGGGATGTAGAATTCAGGAAAGGGTTTTTGAATGACCGGGTCAAAAGCTGGAACCCCAATCCCCTTGCTTGTAGACCCTAGTAGTCTGTTCTGTTCATGTCCCCTGCCATAACCCAGAGCCATGTAGAACCGACCCTGTGCTCCGTGGTTGCTGGCGGAGCGAGCTGAGCGCGTGGTTGGACACATGCGATGGAGCCGCGCTACTACACAGCGGCCATTTCCGCCTGTACCAAAAAGAGGTTGGAGATGTTGGGGGTGGAGAGCAAGATGGGCTCTGGATGGTTGTCTGGGTGTCAGTTACATTGTTCATCGATGGGACTCCATTTTTACCATCGATTTCGGAACACGTCCGAAATTCTGCGAACATGTGCTGTGAATTGCTGTGACATCTTTGACATTCACCAGTGCGGACCTGTCCCAAGGCCTGGGATGTGGACACCGAACCCCCGGTCTTCCGTGCAGGTCTTGGTTTGAGGCCTTGAAGCTCTTGGAGGCGATGCCCCAGCGCCGTGTGCAGGACGGACCACGTGTTTTCACCGGAGAAGCGTCCGGTGAAACCAGGGAGACGGTCCAGAGTGCTGGCTGGGTGTGAAGCTGGTGACGAAGCGGTGTGCTGGAGACTAAGGCCCTCCCTGAGCCTTAGATGCAAGCTCTTGGTCCATGAATTCATTGCACAGTAACGCTTCGTTCCCAGCTGTTGACACCATGCTTGAGTAAAACAAATATACATTGTCATTCACTGCAGTGAACAATGTAGATGATGGACATCAACAAACAGAGTAGAAGGTCAATAGCCATGCATGTAGAAACCCGTTAACAATTTGAATACAGAAGAGGACAAAAAAACCCATTGAACCTGGTCTAGACATTGACACCGATGATTGTCTCAAGGTTTCATCCCAAGGCTATGAGACACCAAGGCGACATGGTGTTCGACTCACTGGGTTGGTGGGAAGAATGGGATTTGCTGTGCTCATAACGTGCTCATCACATGCTGGGCTGTAGCCAGGTGAGCAGTGAGGAGCCTCTACATGTTCGTGGTAGAACTTGTTTGGGTGTTGAACACAGCGGCCGTCCCGTCCACACAGAGTCGAGGCGCTTCTGCACCTCTCGTGCCGAAGGCCCCGGACGGACGACTTTGGGACACAGGTGAACACCATCAGCTTCAATGCCACGATCAGCGCCACTGAGAAGGTGCCACCGGATCAAAAGGATTCAAAAGGAGGGCTTTGTGTTTTGGGGGGGGGAGTCGTGCGAGCGTCGCGAGTCGCGCGATCAGGCGGGTGGAGTTGGAGCAGGAAGCGAGGCAATCTAAAGCAATCAATTTCATCCTAATACATTCCCCCTAGGGGCCCAGCGGCTCTCAAGGCAGTGTACAAGTGTCCCAAACTCTTTGTGTTGATCCCATCAACCATTCTCAAAGCTTCTTTGAAAAAAGTCCAGTCAGCAGGAGTTTGGAGAGGATTTTCTGCCACCAACTGAAGATTCTCCCAGAATGTCTATTCACTAGTCTCCCCGGTTTCCCAGTCTCCCAATCGACGTCGCTCTGACCGGTTTTCTCGAGCGACGTCTTCTCGTCTTCGCCCTGGGCCCTGGGCCACTGGGCAGAGGCAAATCAATGGCCCTGGGCTTTGCACCTGTTTCAACAGATGCCCCAAAAGCAGGTGCTTCAGGCGCCAGGTGTGTCGAATGGGGGGTGTCGACGCCAGGTGTGGTGTGTCGACTCGACCGCTGGTTTGGTCGAGCAAGGAACTTGGGGGGCCGTTTCTTTTTTCAGTGTCCTTGTGGTTTGGTAGGAAACTAACTTCTACACTATTGATCAAGTACGTTTTCAGTCTTAAGAAGAAAAGATTGGAGGATTAGGTTGAAGGGCAAGTTCTAAAATTTGTGGATCTACAGGAGGTTAGAGTTGGCTCTGGAACACCGGGTACAACCCAACCTACGATTGATGGACAAAGCCCGCACCCCCACTTGCAGGATACCTCTAAACTATATACCCATTCTTGGCAGGATACCAGGAGCTTCAATGCTACCATTAGCTCCTGCGAGAAGGGCGCGGAATGGCAAAGAGCTTTGCATCTCTTTGAGGACGAAAACAGCCGAAGCCGAAACTGGTTCCTCGTCTGTTTTTGGGCTGATGGATGAGACGAGCACTGAGCCGCTAGTCTGGGAGGCCTGACCAGGCAGTTTTAGGGATCTGGTTCAAATAGGACATTCCTGGTCAAGATTGGGTTTGCGGCATTTTTTGTAGTTCCTGGCAGGCAAAGACCAGTTACCTTTTGCATTCCTTTGCTTTCAAGGTAGGGCTGGCCTGCCAAATCAAAGGGCATGAAGATGAGAAGACCTTTTCCATCTCTGTCAGGGCTCTACCAGCTTTCTATAGTTTTCTAATGTTCTTGACTAGCTGAGCATTCTCCTTCAAGCACCATGGATTCTGCCTAAAAGATTGAACATCATGAGACAAATCTCATCCAGAAAATGCGAGATACACACCCTGAAACAACAACAACACATGGACGCGGACAATCTTTTTTTGCCTTTTCGACTGTTTGTAGACTGTAGAGGAACTAACATCTTCTGCCATGCCATCTGCCTGCCACCATTTTTGTCGGATGGAGGATCGACGATGCCAAAGGCTAATTGTTCGGGGAATCATTTCTAAAGGCGTACACCGTATCTGGCCTTCCCTCAAAGGCGTGATTCAGGGCTGTGTAAAAAAACACCTTCAGCAACTCCAATCAAGGACGAGCGGTCGCCAATTTCGAGTTTATCTGTAAGTTGCACGCTGTGCAACAAGCTTTGCAGTGTGTTTTCCTTTTTCATGTGTCGCGACATGTCGTCACGACTGACTTTCGATCACGACTTGATCACCCACTCCACCGACAGAGGGTGGGCTCGAACCGCCAAAAGAGGCACGGGTGCGCGCTTCGCTGCGCTTGCGTCGCGATTCGTTTTGCGTCGCTTTGGTTTGCTTGGTTGTGGACCTCGTGCGCTACAACGACAATTCGACATTGGTAGCGGAGCCCGGGGTGACCTGGGCTCCCTACCCTGCGCTCTCCGCGACGACTTCCCGAACGCTCGGAAGAAGACCTACGTCAAGGACGGTCCCAGGAGCTCTTTCAGGTTGTCTAGTTCTTTGCTTGGCCCTTGTCATCTGCTACCTCAACACCCCAGCATCCAAGCAGGTCCTAGAAGAGTTCTTTGGCACCATGGCCCAACAGAAGAAGACATCGACGCAGGCATCCGGATCGGGAAGCGCCTCAGGTACCAACTACCTGGATCTCCGGGACTCCTACGTTCCCGTGTTCAGCGGTCAGCCGAGTGACTACCGCGAATGGCGACAGAGGATTCACCTCTATCATCGAAAGATGTCCATTACAAAACGAGGCAATGAGAGCGTCCTCAACATTGTTGGAAGCTTCACTGGACTCACCTGGCGACTGTTCCAGGACTGGGCACTGGAGGACCTCGAGAAGACTGACGCTTTTCCGAAGATCATTGAGGTCCTCGATCGAAACTTTGCCTACGATGCTAGAGTCCAACTTCCTGCAGATTTTGAGAGCTACTTCAATTTGTTGCAACGTCAAGGAGGCCAGACCCTGCTCATGTTCATCAACGACCACGAAGAGGCCTACCGCAAGTTGCAGCAACACAAAGTGGAGCTCCCAGCCTCTGTTCAAGGATGGCATCTACTCCGTCGTGCCGGGCTATCAAGAGAGCAACGACAGCTCATCACCTTGAAGGCACCTACCATGGAGAAGAATGAGGTGATTGAAGCGCTCTACTTGATCCTCGGACAGGATTACAAGGGCGGAGGATGGAATGTTGAGCGGAACCGCCGCTTCGGAATCCAGTCCCACTCCTGGAAGAACCACCGTGCCTATGTGGCCGACGACTATGATGATGAGACCTACCAGGACGATGAACAGTGGGAACATGGATACTATGAGGAGGACGACAGTTGGCTTGAAGAGGGTCCCGCCTATGAGGCCTATGATGATGAGGGTCAGGATTTTGACTATGATGCAGGGTACTATGGTGAAGAAGAACCCTGGCCTGACAATGAAGAAGCGAACAGTCCCTCTCAAATGGCTGCTGCCTATGATTCCGCTTTTGCCTCCTACACGGATGCTCGAAGACGATTCCAAGAGCTGAAGACCTCCCGTGGCTATTTGCCCATCGTCGCACTGACGGATAGCGGAGGTGCACCTACATCGACGGCTACCGGATCCGGCTCTCCGTCTTCGTGGAGGACAAAAGGAAAAGGAAAAGGGAGTTCGAAAGGTGGAAAATCGAAGTCAGTGAGCCGACCTCCACCTGATCCCAGAGGCAGAGCCAAGGCCAACATGAACTGTCTTCGCTGTGGGCAAGCAGGACACTGGGCTGCCAACTGCCCCCAGTCATCAAGTCCGACTTCACGAACTCCGGCAGTCAAACGACCAGCATCCACCACCGAAGCGATGGCTATGTCCACACCACTGGATGAGCGAGCCTTGTTGATCTTCCAGGACTCCGGCGGTGCTGAACGACCGGACTGTGTCATGCTCGACCCTGGTGCAAGCGCCTTCTTGTCCGGCTACGGCCCCTTCCGAAGGTACCTGGATCACCTTCGTGCACTGGAGTTCCCGGTGGACACCATCAAGATGAGCAAAGGCCGGAGACGCTTCCAATTTGGAGGCGATGCATCTATGCGGTCTGACTGGTCAGCCCACGTCCCGACCTTTGTGGACGGAAAGTATGGCACCATTGAGTTGTTCCTGCTGCCAGGCAACACGCCTATGCTCTGTGGAAGGCCAATCATTGAGGCCTTGGGCATGACAATGGACTTCGCTCAAAAGCGCCTTCGCATCGGCAGTTCACCCTGGATGCCCGCAACTCTTGGCCGACAAGGTGAGTATCTCTGGTCCCTCACCAACGAATTCCTCAGTGTGAACTACGACCCTGAATGGCCTGAGTTTGTCCTCCGCACAAATGACCAAGGCATCGAGCAGAATGACGGATACCGTCTCCAGGACTTCATGACTGCCGAGCATGGCTTCACCACCTTTGAGCACATCGACGAGACCAATGACACCAAGACTCGTCCATTGAGGAAGCAGGAGCTGAAGACAATGGATGTGCACCTCAGCACTCAGCTCAATGACCTCTCGGCCTACATCACCAGGGAACTTCATCAGCCCGAACGACCTCGCATCCTGTGGGAGGTCTACTGTGGAAAAGCCAGAACGGCACAGATGGCCGAAACTATGGGCATGGAGACTCGTTGCTTTTTCTACGAGAGTGGCTGGGATTTTGAGCGCCTCGACCATCAAGAAGAGTTCCTCCGACTCCTTGACGAGGAGAACCGCGACGAGCTTTTGATGGCGCCTGAGTGCAAGTTATGGAGCAAGATGCAGTCTCTTGGACGTCGCACTCCAGCTCAGAAGGAAGCTCTTCGTGCAGCTCGTCATCACCACCACGACAGGCATTTGATGTTTGTGCGACGTGGCTACCTGGCCCAGGTCTCTGGAGGTCGACATGCGACCATCGAGCAACCGAAGAACGCCCTCTCATGGCAGACCCGAGCTCTTCGTGACCTTCCTGGCCGGCGGACAGACTTCTCTCAGTGCAGATATGGAGCTCAATGTCTGGACAACGATGGCATTTGGAAGCCAGTTCAGAAGAACACCTCCCTGTTGACGACTAAGCAGTCCGTGCAGGGCGCTCTTCATCTTCAGTGTCAGCACGATCATGAACACTGCCCATTGGAGGGTTCTGCACCTGGCTACGGCTCCCGTACCAGGTATCTTGAAGAGTACCAACCTGCTTTGGCCGCCGCTCTTGCTGCTGCCCTCGCCGTTGATGAGCCGCCGACCTACTGGGAAACTGGCCATGCGGCCGAGGATGAGCGAGAGACCACAAGCTCTCTCATCAAGCTCCGAAGTGAAACCAAGCAGGATGCCATCCGCACTGTGCAGCGACTTCATCGCAACTTGGGACATCCCGCACCTTCCGCTTTGGTTGAACTACTTGAGGCAAGGGGTGCATCAGATGCAATCCTGCAAGCCGCAAAGACCTACCGCTGCTTCGCTTGTGCAAAGTACAAGAAGCCTGCTCAGGCCGCTCCGGCTGCTATGCCCAAGAACACTCAGTTCAATGAGGTGCTCCAGGCCGATGTGATGTGGCTACGCCGTGGTTCTCAGAAATATGCAGTGATGAGCATGGTCGATTCAGCAACTCGCTTCACAGCTGCTGTCCTCGTCAACTCGGAGCACACTGAAAACTACATCAAGGCCCTCGAGCGAGCGTGGATTGCACACTATGGTGCTCCTGGTTCACTTCTCACAGATGAGGGTCGTGGATGGCTCAGCGCCCAGATGGACGAATGGACGTCGGCTCACAACATCAACCACATCGTGGCTCCTGGAGAGGCCCATGAGCGCTTGGCACTGGTGGAACGCCGCCATGCAGTCATCCGCAAGTCAGTTGAGGTGTACCTCGATGACATGAAAGTTGATGGCCCCGCTGGCATCCAGGAAGCACTGTGCTACATCATTCCCCAGCTCAACAGCACTCCTGGTGTAGCAGGGTTTTCTCCTGCTCAATGGGTCCTGGGCCACCAGCCCCGTCTGGCTGGTGATCTCCTCTCCGACTCGACTCAGCCAGTTCACTTCGGCGGCAACCAGACCTTCGAAGAAATGTTGTCCAAGAGGCATGCTGCTCGCAAGGCACTGAACGATGCTGATGCAGATCGCCGCCTACGACGAGCTCTCAACCTCAAGTACAAGGGCACCAACTCTGAGTACGCCCTGGGCCAACAAGTATGGTTCTGGAGGGATGCTCGACAGCCTGATCTCGTGAAGATCCGATGGTTGGGACCAGCACAAGTGGTCATGAAAGAGCGCCGCCCAGGCGCTGATGAAGCTGAGGGCCCTGTGTCGGTCTACTGGCTAGCGTTCAAGTCACAGTTGATCAGATGCGCACCACACCATGTTCGGGCCGATGTCAAGAGCTTCAACCATGCCATTGATGACACCCAGCTTGCCTTGAACACCGTGCGCCAGTTGAAGTCTCGAGGCGTCACCCGCTTCTATGACTTGAACAGGGTCAACCGGCAGAACCTGGCTGATGTGGAAGAGGATGAACATGGTCAAGGATCCTCCATCGAATCGGGATCTGAGCACGAGATGACACCACCACGGCAGCGCCCTCGCCTCATGCTGGATTCACAGCCCACAGTGACTACCAACTCAGCAGAAGCTGCACCACAGATCGAGGCGACAACACCACCCACAGTGACTACCAACTCAGCAGAAGCTGCATCAAGCCAAGCCGTGGCACCAGCTGCTCAGGAACAAGGCCCTGAGACAGAGGCACCCATGTCACCACCTCCGGTACCAGGTGACACTGACGGATGGTCCGAACCCAGCCAGGAGCCAAGCGAAGAGCCCCCAATCCGAACCACAAGGCCACCTACGCCCAGTGCTCAGCCGAGGCCAACACTTGACCCTGCTACAGCTGAACTCTATGAGTCTGCACCGGCCGAGACATTTCAACAACAGAGACTCCGGTTCAACCGCCAGGAGACCCTGAGCTTTGCCCCTTTCAGGCATCGCAGAACACATGGAGCGAATCCATACCCGGACTCAACGGCTGCAGCAGATCAACCTGCTACACCACAGCAGCCACCAGAGCAGCTAGCAGGTCAAGGCTTCTACCTCGAGAACCTCGATACCACATCACTGCCGCATGGATGGCATATGGATGAACAGGGGTATCTCCAGCTGGATGATCGTGTCACAGACTACTGGGAATTGAAGGCTGGCTGCTTGATTCGCCATCACCTGATCCCTCGCCGTGGACGGATGCACATCGACCAGCTCCCCAAAGACTGTCCAGTCTCAGCGGAGCAGCTTGACAAGCTGAAGATCACCCTCGCGCATCAACATGATGGCAGGAGCCGTCTCCACACCGATGATGGCACTGTGACCACTCCACCTGAAGGCACCACTGGCACTTGGACAGGCACCACCGTCTTCCAGCTCTCAGGTGAGACTCGTAAAGAGATGGCTATGTACACCGGCACCCACCTGGTCCGCAACAGTGCACGACAGGTTGCCAAGGAACAGAAGAAAGTGCACACCAAGAAAGTGAAGAAGGACAAGGGTGGGGTGAATGAAAGGCTACTAGGCCCTCACGAGCGTGCTCTCTTCAAAGAAGCAAAGGTCAAGGAACTTCGATCCTTCTTTGACCACGGAGTCTGGGCCTTCCAAACGACTGCAGATGCCGACGAAGCACGAACTCTGACCTCGAGGATCCTGCTCAAATGGTCGAAGAATGAAGATGGCAGTCCCCGTGCCAAAGCCCGGCTCATCGTTCGAGGGTTCAATGACCCAGATGCTCTTTCTGGTGCCATCACTACCTCATCGCCAACAACGACAAGACTGTCGAGATCTATGGTGTTGTCTCTTGCAGCCAACATGCATTGGCCAACCTGGACTGCCGATGTCAGCACAGCTTTCTTGCAGGGTCGCCCACAGACTCGCAAGCTATGGGTCAAACTTCCTGCTGAAGCACTTCAGTTGCTAGGCGCCTCTGAGGACACAAGGATGCTCTTGTTGAAGCCGTGCTACGGTCAGACGGACGCTCCCAGAGGTTGGTATCTGGAAGCTGTGGACCGCTTGCTGCGAGCAGGCCTTCGTCAGCGCCCACTTGATCCGTGCGCCTTCCTGATTTATGAGAAGGATGATCCTGACTACGACGAGCACAATCCCATTCACCAGGAGACCGCCACGCTGGGAACTGAGAAGCTCTGCGGCATGGTGATCATGCATGTCGACGACATGTTGGGCGCTGGCTGTCCTCGATCTCCTCGATACAAAGCTGTCACTGACATGCTTCGAGCCAATTTCTCATTCCGAGAATGGAAGGAAGACCTGCCCAAGCTCGAGTACTGCGGCTGCGAACTCGAAAAGACCGAAGAAGGAGGTCGCCGGCTCCATCAGGAGAACTACTACGCCAAAGTGAAGCCCATCACACTTCAAAAAGGGCGCGACCTTCACGACCGGCTGTCAGAGAAAGAGGTCACTCAAGTTCGTGGGTTGCTAGGCTCCTTGCAATGGCCTGCAGTACAAACAGCGCCTCACCTCCAGTGCTCGACGTCAATGCTGTCAGGACAAATCACCAAGGCCACTGTGAACACAGTCCAGGAGTGCAACAAGCTGTTGAGGTTCGCCAAAGAACACAACGATGTCAGCCTCTACTACAACCCGATCGGACACCCGTCCGAATTACAGCTGCTGTGTTTCTTTGATGCTGGCTTCACGGCACGATCCGACGGCAGTTCACAGGGCGGCTACATCCTGATGTTTGTCAATCGCCAGCTGCTTACCTCTGGGGAAGATGGTGAGTATCATGTCTTGGACTGGCGTAGCTTTCGCACGCCTCGGGTCACCCGGAGCTCACTGGCAGCTGAGGCTCAAGCAGGTGGACAAGCAGTTGATAGCATTGATTTCACCTGCAGGTACTGGCACTACATCATGAACCCCGACCTCAAGCTCAAAGATTTGCTGAAGGCGTCTTCCACTTTGACGCCGATCATGGTCACTGACGCCAAAGCCCTGTATGACTCCTATCACAGGGAGGGAGTCAGCTCGTCAGTGGTGGACAAAAGGGTGAGCCTAGAAATCCGAGTCATGAAGGAGATGCTGGAGGAGCTCAATGGACAGCTTCGATGGATGAGCTCAGAACGACAGATAGCTGACGGACTCACCAAAGAGTCAGCTCGTGTCTTGCTGGCCGCTCGCCTACGGCACCGACGTGTGAAGTTGACTTGGGACCCAAACTATGTGGCTTCGAAGAAGAAGACAAAGAATGAAAAGGCCAAAGCCATCGCAGAGACTACACTTGATTTCCAGCCGGAACACTATGAGCCTGAGGAAAATCAGGACCCTGTTGAGGAGCACACTCCACCGAATGCTGACGTCTCTGAGTATCCCGAGATCCTTGAAGATGATGGCATGCCACCGAATGAAGAGATTCCTGCCACCGCCTACTTCTCAAAGACCATGGAAGCTGTGGCCTATGTGTACGCCATGAGCCATGGCGGCTGCCCCATGAAGTATGTCAAGAAGAGTCGCAAGCCGAATGCTCTGTGGCTGATGCTGCTGCTCTCCATGTTGGTGCTGACCAAGGGTCAGCAATGTGAGAAGGGTCAGGATCCAGAGAATCAAGAAGAAGGTCATCTGCTGATGTGGTTGGCTGTCCTGGCCTTATTGCACGTGACCATCATGGCAGGCGTCTTCTTTGCTGGACGCTGGAGTTGCCACAAGGACACCAAGGACAAGCCCCTGATGAAAGAAGTTCAAGTCCAAAAGGACGAACCAATCGTCCATACCCGACTTCGAGACCTCCTCCAACAAGAAAAGACAAGATCTGAAGAAGCACTCCGAGCAGCCAGGGAATCCCGATCTGCCTTCAACAACCTGATCAGTCGATCAATCTGGGAGATGGATCACCACACCTCCATGTGCCCCTTCTCAAGGCCCATCGTCACCAACCGGACTGCAACTTGCTGGCACCATGAGACCTGCCACATGGTTGAGCAGATGAATGAGCCCCTGCTGATCCGGAGGGCCTGCGCTTACTGCGCCATGCACCGTCCTCCACCTGACCGGACGGATGCTCAGGCGAGGACGATTCGAACCGACCTAACTGCCTGGCTGACGAACGCTGCTTTGTGGCTGCCAACTGAGGCCTAAAGTGGCTAAAGAACAGCCCTGTGTAAGTTGCACGCTGTGCAACAAGCTTTGCAGTGTGTTTTCCTTTTTCATGTGTCGCGACATGTCGTCACGACTGACTTTCGATCACGACTTGATCACCCACTCCACCGACAGAGGGTGGGCTCGAACCGCCAAAAGAGGCACGGGTGCGCGCTTCGCTGCGCTTGCGTCGCGATTCGTTTTGCGTCGCTTTGGTTTGCTTGGTTGTGGACCTCGTGCGCTACAACGACAATTCGACATTATCCATTTTCTCTTGGGGGGCAGGTTTTGGGGGTCACGTCCATGTTGGGAATGGCATCCACGTTCATCCAATCCTCTCCTAGCAACCACTTTCGATCTTTCTCGTGCGGTGCTGTTGAGGAGATCTGTCCCACGCGGCTTCGTCCCGATGTGTTCAGCTTCAATGCCACCATCAGCTCTTTGGAAAAGGCCTGGCAGTGGCAACGAGCTTTGCAGCTCTTTCAGGACGGTGGCAACGGCTCCAACAGCTCTTTCGTGTCCCAAATCGGGTGGTGGGTGGAAGTGGAAGTGGGGCAGTGGGTGTGGGGCATGGGTCCAAGAAAGGAAAGAGGAGGGGGGGTTTTATGGCACCCCCGGAGCCATGGCTAGGTAGATCCTCCTGCCGATGACTGGGACGGAGATGGAGGAAATGACCAGGGCCCAGGACGTGCAGTCCAGTGGTCCAAGACAAAGAGCTTCACGATGCATCAAACAAGACAAGCTGCTGCTTGATCAGGTCGTCCTTCGCAAGATCGAACACGAAAAAATAGACACATCAGAACACTCCCTTGCTTCGTGACAGATGCATTGGCCATCCCTGGGGTCCAATTGGGTTAAGTATCGCTGGTGGTGCTGCATTGGTGCGGCGGTGCTGTGCCTTCTGTAGGCCTTCCAAGAAGAGTCTGATTTGATACACACAACTTCGAATACTTTCGATGTCTGCGTCTTAATTCAGGGGGAGCCCGAATTCTTTATGCGTGCTGGGAAGAAGACACCCTCAAATCGTCCCTTCCAGGGTTCGTCTCAATGCTGCGGATGGAGTGGGACGAGCGAGAATCCAGAACCATGGAGTCTGAAGAGCTTCGTCGGCGCTGTAATTGCTTTGGTTCTTCTCTTTTTTATCCGGACAACTGGTGAGCACTGGTGCACTGACGAGCAAGTCCACCCGTGCTCCCCATGCCAGATTTAATTCTGGCTTGTTCCGCCAGGAATCTTCGCGATCAACTGCAAACCCATGCAAACCCTACCCCCCAAACTTAAACTCCCAAAAACCTCAGGCTCTCCAACACTTCAGAAGCCGAACTCGGAAGCCGAACGAACGAACTGGTGGCGCCGAACTTCGGCGCACCAAGCCGGTGGCGTCGGAGGACATGCCCTCGTACCTCCTCGGTGTGGACGTTTGGAGCTTCAATGCCACGATCAGCGCCTGTGAGAAGGGCCAACAATGGCACTGGGCACTCGAACTGTTCGACTCCCTCTGTCAGGTGCGGTTTCCCCTCGGTTCGTTGCTTCGTTGCCACGCTGGCCGGGTGGGTTAAAAGGGGCGTGCTGAGCGCAGCACCTCGCGGCGCGTTTGGGACTTCAAGTGGGTGTTCACACATACACACCTGTGCTGGAAGTTTTTTTGTAAAGGTTGATCGGGCTCTTCCCCACTCTCCAAACTACGGACGGTCATGTTGACCAGCTGCTCCAAAATTCTGAGCCTGCTAGCTAGGCACCCTTCATTCTTTCTTTAATCCAGTCTTTCTTTCTTTCGCAACGGACTCTTCGAAAATGACGAACTGGCAAGTCAAATGAATTCAGATGCCACCCACCTGCCTTGTACACGAAGAACACCATCGAGCTGTAAGCCAGGCACCCAGATATTCCAACAAGGTCTAGAGTGATCAGGGTTCCGAGATTGTTCAGATGAGCTGAGCGCCAAGTTTGGGGGATTCTCCCATTTACCGATGATGGACCACTCGCAGTCGAGCCAAAAAGAACCCGCCCGTGGAACCACGCAGTCTGCACAGCGCCGTGGAAACCCGCGGCACGCGCCGCGCGCGCCGTCGTGCGTCCTGTCATGGCCAGACCCCATCGGTGCAGCCAGACACCATCACCTTCAACGCCAGCATCAGTGCATGTGAGAAGGCCGCGCAGTGGCAACACGCTTTGGGCTTCTTCATGCTGATGTCCGGCCAGGTGGAGCGTGGCCGCCAGGGGCGCCAGGGCGGTGGCCAGAGCCTGTTGCCACAGCACACTGACACGAACATGGAATCCAAATGAAGACCCTTTGGGGTTCATCATAATCCTTCCCCGTACTGATCCCAGAACCATAGTCTAGTTGGGAATCTTTTTCATTTGCCACTTCTTGTCAGGGTTTGTTTTGTAGGTTTGGGGGCGATCTTGCTACTCACGAAGGCCGCCCCAAACGAGATCACTTACAACGCGACGATCAGCGCCCTGGAAAAGGCCGCGCAATGGCAGAAGGCATTGCAGGCAAAGCGTCAGAAGCGTCAACTGCGCGGCGGTCCGGCGCTTCTTTTTGGAGACAGCACCAAAGGCGTAAAGACAGGTTAGATTGTCCGTTTTCTGGAGAGATTGGTGGAAGGTGACCCTTTCAAACATCTGATGGAATGATGTTCCAGCCGGCTTTGCAGGTTGATAAGGCATGCGTTCCACCAACAGCTTCCACTCGTTGTTGATGGGTTATGCGTTCCTCCGGTAAACCGTTTGGTGATCCTTTTTGTGTTTCAGGCATGGAAATTCTGGAAAGCTCAGTCTAGATCCTGACCAGACACCATAAAGGACACTACGCCTTGTTTCTCCTCAAAGTGGGCTACTTGGATTCCTCCTTTGGATTCGCACGGTCGCTGAGTGGGAGGCTGGTTTCTCATTGGTTGGCGCATTTGGCACCCAAAGACCAGGTCACGTGATGCAGTCCATTCGACCCGTGAATCTCTTCACCATGCTCGAGCAATTGCCCGAACGCACTCAAAGACCTGAAAACTCTGCAGGTCTTTAACGCGATGGAAGCTTCTCCTGGGCTCATCACCTACCATGCACTGATGAGTGCTTGCGAGAAGGTGAGGAACCTGAGTCATAGTCCCAAGTGTCTCCTTCTCTTGTGATTTTGGTTCTGGTCCTGACCTTGGATTGAAAGGGCTGTGGGAACACATGCAAGGAGGTTTGCACATCTACAGACTTCAAGGTAGGTGGACATTTGGGACTGCACTGTGCACCGGGAATGCACTGTGCGCGGCAGGCCTCCCAGTGGCAGGTGGCCCTTGAGCTCTTTGCCCGGGCGAGCTGCGCCACTCGGTGGGTGCTGACTGCTAGGAGCTTCAACTCGGTGCTGAGCGCATGCGAGAAGGTGGGGTATTCATGCGGTTGGTGCTTGGGACGGGGGTGGTGTCTACAGTTTGGGTGAGGCTGGTGGGGTTCAGATTGCTTTATGTCAGCCGATTGGCAGAAGACACCTCTTCAGTGGGTTTGGACGGCTTCAGATGGGCACTTTTTATCTTAGGGAAGTGAACCATACAACAATTTCCAGGTCACATCGACTCGTTCAGCAGCTTTCTTTGTACAAATGAAGACACCTCCACACCCACACCTCGAAGTTTCTCCTTTTCTATTGGCCCAAAGACAGAGCGCAGACACCCACCTAGGCCCCACCGATTTCGGTTGTTCTGCTGTTGTTGCTTTTCTGTTTTTTTGCCTGCTTCCCTCCCATCATCCATGGCATTTTGGTTGCTTCTTCTTCCACGCGCCACGCCCCTCCTGCTGCCGTACTGCCTGTTCAAGTCGGATCCTTTCCCGTTTTTGCCGGACAGTAGGCTCGGCAGTGGCTTGTGGCGTTGCAGTTCTTCCACCAGATGCCCCAAGCCCAGGCTGGGACCGTTCCGTCGACCCCGGTCGGAGCAGTTGGTCGGACACACCGACGGATTTGGAGCGAGGTGTTCTTGGGTACGGGCGATGCAAAGAAGAGATGCCAACCAACGGACGGGCGATGCTGGGCCGTTTGGTGGTTGTCTCCTAGGAGACAGGCCCCAAGGACCGAACGGGGTTCCTTTGACCCCGGTTCACAGATGTCAAACATGTCGACCTCACACAGACCTGTTCAACAGGGGACTGCCACGCGGAAGAAACGACTTGGTCTTCGATGCTCCACCGATGCGAAGGGTAAGAGCAAGGACGCTATGAACGGGGCTCTTGGCCTTACTACTAGGAACAAGAAGCCGCTAGGAACAAGTGATTTCCAAACTTGTAGCTTCGTTACTAGTAGCAATGGCCTCCAACCTAGCAATGGCCTCCAACCTACTGGCATCTTCCCATCCTCATTCCATCGCGCCGCATGAGGTCTCCCCGGATGCCATCTCCTTGAGCGCTGTGGTGAGTGCCTGTGCGCGACGAGAGGGGGGCACTTGGCGCAGGGCGCTGCAGCTCTTTGAGGAAGCTCTTGCCGGCGCTCGGTGGTGTGGAGAGGTAGGGCTGGAACTGATGCATCAACTATGCACCAACCATCACTGACTGGGAGCAACCAACCATCACTGACTTCCCCCAAACGAACATGACCAGATTGCGAGGTTGGGAGATTTCTAGCTAAGAGCTAGCATGTGTGGTTAGTGCCAGGCATGTGAAGTTCTGTGGTTTGACATGGACCCGTCGACCGTCGACCCATTTTTTCAGGTAGATGCAATTGCATGGAGTTCGGCCGTGAGCGCCTGTGCAAAGGGAGGAGGGCGGGAGCGTCGCTGGACCGGAGAAGTCGCGTCGGTGCGGGGTAAGGAGTTCCACAGGTTGACTGATCACAGTCTTCAGAACAGGCGGTTCTGAGAGGGCGTAGAAGGCGATCGAACTTGTTTCGGGCTTTCTGGTTGGTGAAGATCTTCGCCCCAGGATTTGGAGGAACTTGAGATTTTCGGGGAACCAACGATTTTGCACCACCAGTGTCATCACAGCTTGCTCAGCATGCTCAGTTCCACGATACCTCTGGACACCCACCCATGGGCGAGGCTCTGAGGCGTGCGCCGCTTTCACACCGCCGACCCCCCCTTGCACACTCTCCAAATGCCAGGACATTGGAGACAGGCCCTGGAGTTCTTCCATCGCATGGCACAAAGACAGATTCGTCAGGATGTGATTTCTTTTAGTGCCGCCATCAGCTCGTGTGAGAAGGCCAGTCAGTGGCCTGGAGACGAAAGGAGCCCGAGTTTGGTTCTTTAAGCTCCCCTCCAGGGCTCTCCATCCGCACTTCTTTCAGGCCACAACCCCCACGAAGCCTATCCCAGGAGCCCAGGAGTACCCAAAAGGCTCCTCGTCTCAACCTCTATTCACCAAACATCCAGTTGTTTCACTTGGACAACCTCAAGCTCGTTGATTTCCACCAATGCCTTTCCGAAAACATCCTGCGTGTTGCTTGGTTGGGATAGACCATGGCATGCATGCTGTCGCCAAAGACTCGCATCGAAAGAGACGGAGACTCGCATGTGCCGTATCTTTGTAGACCTGAGACACTCAGAATCAGCTCAGTCCGAACAGGTTTCATGTCTATCATGTCTTCAGTCGATAAAACACAGGCGTTCTTCAAACAGAAGAGCAACCCTTCCACAAAGAAAGCGCCCAAGCGAATTCAACACATGGTCAGCCACCGTGCTGAGAAAAGATGTGAACTTTGGGGGATGGGACGCGGAATGTATCGGTTGGTCTTGGTAGGTGGTAGGCACGAAGCTCAGATGAGCCAGAGCTTCCGTTTTCACTCATGAACTACCGAACCTGGTAGTCATGATCCACCACTTGTAAAGGGGTGAAATGAGTCATTTTCCTGAACGTCCAGGGTGAGAAGCACAGGGTTTCTCCTCCGATTTCGTCGTGGTTCGCGTTCTTCTTCTCCAAAGGGGCGGCTGGTTCAACTCTTTTATATAGTAAAAAAGAGGTGGTTCGGTTTTTGCCACCAAACCATCCAAACAGTCCAAAAACTTTGGACGACGGCTCAGGTGGCCTTTTGCCCTGCTACTCTTTCAGCAGATGCATCTAGCTGAAATCGTCCCGAACAACTACAGCTACAGCGCGGCAATCATCTCGTGCCAGAAAGGCAGACTCACGTGGCGGACTCTCGTGTGGCTTGAGTTTCACAAGAAAAGGGACGACACTCAGCTTCTTCTGGGCACCCTTTAGGCGCTGCGAATGAGATCGAAGAAGCCATGTTTGCGTTCGTTTTTGACAACAACTAGTCTTCATCAACTGAACAGATGCTCAAGAAAATAGTACAGTCCACCGCTGAACTCTTTTTCTTGGAACGTACAAAGACCTGCGCAGCCCACCACGTGTTCAGCCCAGTCATCTATGGCCAACAGGGCCGTGGCTAGACCCCCAGTCCAGCTTCGCTGGATTCTCAAATCTGAAAGATATGGCCCATTTCTTTGTGATCACGTGAACGTCAACCAAAACGGTATCCCGCAATGACGCTTGGCTCTCACCCCAGTCATGTTGACGGTCATCCATCCTCCGCCCACAAAACCAAACACATGCGAAGACCCACAGGAGTACCGTTCGAGGGTGAACCGACCTGGTCCGGTTCTTTCGATGAGCGCCTCATGCGAAACCCTCCTGGATGAAGGCGAGCAATGGCAATATGCTTTAGAACTCTTTGGCTCTCTCAAAGCTGTGACTGAACACTTGCTGAGCAACATTTTTGCTTCTCTTTCGGCGGTTTTGTTGGGCTTTGTCTGGGGCCTTTGTCTGCCCCGTTGGCTTTTATCACTTTTATCCCTGTGATCTCACACTGACCATGGGGCCACCGGGGGGAATCTTCAGGATGACCCTGATCATGTCGACTCCTGCCAAGAAGATCGAAGTCATTCGAGGTCCGATTGAATGCAAGAAATCATATCAGAAATGATCCGCTTCTGCTTGGAACAGAGATGGAAGTAGTCCTCCAAAGAAATCCCACCGGCAACTCGACCCCAACCAGTCGAAGAGATCGAATCAAAAGCCCATGCTGGACATCGCCGGGTGAAAGCGACGCCGGTCACCCACGGCCGGTAACGACAGATGGAACAGAGAACTCTGGCTGATGAGTCAAAGCATGTCAAAGCCATATCCGCGCTGGCGGATCCGAACAGTTGCCATGGTCTTTTTCTGAATGAACATCCCACACCCGTGCATCCCAGTTGAGGAATTCCTTCCCGGTCAACTGCTGGGAACCTCCAACATCGCGACCTGTGCTGGACTGGACCGGTTAGTCGACCGGTCGACCGGTCGGTCCCAGTCGAGGCGAAGCTGCAGCCGGACCTTGCCAGCTTCCAGGCGACCTTGCGCGCCTTGAAGAGGGGAAGCCACTGGCAACAGGCTTCGGTGCTTTTGGATGCCCACGCCTGGCAGGCCGTCCGCTGCTTCGCGGTTTTGGGGTTTCGTGGGATGACGCCAAAGCCGGTTTGTTTTCTGCGCCAAAGCAGACGTGCGAAGGAGTTGTGGGGTTCGGGGCTGGGAAAGCGAGTAAGTCGGGTCTGGTGGTGCAGGTCGGGTTTGGGGATGGTCGATGGAGTGATTTCTGATGGTTTTCTGGTGAAGAGAACAGCTGAGTTTTCAGCCGCTGACATGAAAGTTGGTGGCGAACCCAAACATCCAACCTGTTGGAATTTGGATTCTGAAGGTAGGGCTGCAGTCGGACTGGCCCCATACTTGGCAGCCCATGTCGCACTGGACCAGATCACTTTCTTCGCAGGCGGAGTTCTGCGAAGCCGTTGGAGCGCCGGAGGTTGAGCAGAAGAGACCGATGCTGTTGCGGACGTTGGGGTTTAAGTTCGAAGGGTTCCCCCAGTTCTTCGAGGTCTGTAGGGTCGTGGTTCTGGAGGGTGAGAGTTGTATGACCAACCAGTTCCTATGAATACATATCCTTGGATACGTCTAGAGTCTGAAATATCCTGAATTGTGCTGATAAGTTAAGCCTGCGTTTGGCCTCTTACCATATTGACATCCTCATCCTGGTGTGGGAACATTTCCAACACAAGAAACCCTTCCTTATCCTTCCATGACCGTTTGGGCAGACAATTCCTATGGTTCTGGTACTGGGTGTATGTCCTTGCAGAATGCATACACGTCAATAGGTACTGTGCACATTCATACATGCATGTGCATGCATGTATCAAAATAGAAGGCATCCAAACACTCTTCAACCAGCATAAGAGATCATAAGAGTATACAAGAGTACCTGAACATCCATGGTGCAGGGTCGCCTCATTGGAGAGACCTTGTGGCCAAATTATTCCCAGTGCAGCTGGTTACTAGTAGTATGGCCAGGAGCCCTAGTAGCGTCCTTACTGATACGGCCCAGTCATGACTGTTCAGTACGGCCCAAGTCGCCACAGGGGAGCTGTTGCTCCGGAATCCCTCTAACACCGTTCCCACCTCGGTGGTTCAGCTGGCATCGACTGGTGTCCAAAATTGCTTCCAGAGATGTCGGTTCGAAGGCCATTTTTGCTCATGCCATGCCTTGGGATGGCCTGTTCGTTCTCTGCTTGCCATAGACCTTTTCTTACAAAACGAGAGCGGAGGCATGAAGATTTCGTTTCGACTGGTCACATGTCACCGGGATATGGTCACAGGACCCTTTTCCCATGGCTGGCACAGTCATGTCAGCGCAAGTGAGCTCTTTTGGTCTATGCAGCATCGAGGGCAGAATGTCAGAAGGAGAGATGGCGGGCCGGGCCCCTCAAAGTTGATCTTTCCAGCTTCTCGTGGAAGTGCAACGATCATGCTTTCGTTGGTATCCCCACCATCAACCCCACTACCCCACTCCCACGATCTTGCGAACTCGCAAGATCCCCAAGACCATGTCACTTGCTGCGCCATGGTGATCCAAGTGATCTATGACGTGGCCTGCCCGGTGTGTTTGCGCGCCATCCAACTGGTCACTTTCCGTGAGGAGACCTTCAGGAGACCGGCTCGCGGACCGTCTTCGACGCAGCGCCGTGGGTTTTCAGGGGGGGGCACCCACACGTTCAGGGGGTTTTCAGGGGGGCATGAAACAGGGAACCCTGTTCATGGGTTCAGGGGGGCACCCTGTTCATGGGGCTCCCTGTTGCATGGAGAGGGTTTGGAATGGTCTGGGGGGATTCGTGGCAGTTGGTTCGTCCGAGTCTCCACGGACCTCCCGAGACTCGGAGGTCGAACCGTCGGGACGAGAGACGAGACCTGCCCCCGGTCACTCGCCATACGATGGGCGAGCTGCGCTCTTGGGGGCTCCAATCCTCAGAAGTCGACGGAGTAATCAAGGCTCAGATCTTCGAAAGACTTGAACCCAGGACAGAAGAGATGAATTATCCTAACATATCCTAACAGAAGAAACCAGGAAACGACATGCAAGTTGACAAAGCAAAGTTGACCTTCCACTTCCACCTCCAGTTCGTGACCGTCCCGGAGATCTAATGAGGTCGCCACTGGTCCCAAAGAGCTCACAAACAGAGACCTTCAGTTTCCCTCCAAAAAATAGAAGCTCCGCAAACCAAATCAACTTGCCCTACCAAGACGGCTGAGGAACTAGGTAGCTCCAATCGCCTTTGGGGGCCCTGGTATGTTTGCGCGAGCACGTTAGGAGCTCGGGCGTCGCCTCCACCGTGCAGCTGAGTCCGTGGCCCTCTGGGGCGGCGGAGGACGTGCTTCGAGGTGGCATCGATGTTGATCGATGTTTCGTTCGCCGTTTGGCCAAACAACACAGTTCTCAAACAGAGAACGAACCATCACCGGAAAAAAACAGACACACACACAATCACACACTGTTTCTGGAAAGATTTGATGACGCGATTCCAACATAGGTTGACCAAAACCGAACAAAAAGAGGAGTCGGAGGAATTCCTTGATGCTCTTTGAGCGATACCGTATTGGACATCTTGAATCTAGCTCATTGAGGGTCATGAGAAACAAGATGGAAGCAGGGGAGTCTCTGCTGTCTTCGACATGTGACGCCGCGGAAGCGTTCGCCTCGCCGAACGCCTCGCCTCCCACCTTCCCTTCCTCCGTCCTGCTCAGAGGGCACGATTTGCAAGAGCAAAATTGCAAAGTGGACGTTGCAATGAATGCATACCAGGAGTCACCAAGGGGTGGTTTTTAGTCCCTAAGTGAGTGGACAATTGGCACTCCTATCTTCCAACAAACACCGCTTTGTGACTCTGGTGTATAATTTAATATAACTTAACACATATTTAATATTTTCTACGATTCTCTCTTGGCTGGAAACACCCCGGCTTCTCATCGCCACGGGTTGAGCGGTTCGATCAAAACTCTTGGGCGTGCTGAACGAAGACCTCATTGGCTGCAGGAGGGTGGATTCTTTAATCCTCTTTATTCCCCAAACAGTTTACCGGTGGGGTTCTATCTTAGAAAGAAAAGAGCTGGCCACACTCACTGGCCGCGCCCCTGAACTCTGTGGCTGGGCTCCGTGGCTGGGCTCTGTGGCTGGGCCTTGTCCTCCTCTTGTCCTCCTCTTGGCCGCGCCCCTGAACTCTGTCAACTCTGTGGCTGGGCTCCGTGGCTGGGCCTTGTCCTCACTTGTCCTCCTCTTGTTCTCCTTTTGGCCTGGGCTCTGTGGCTGGGCCTTGTCCTCCTCTTGGCCGCGCCCCTGA